CACTGATGATGCTGACTACGAGGCCGGCAAAACGTTTTAGAATGTACCAAGTCCACTGTCTGATGCTGGGAATCATGACTACTAATATGGCAGACGACTTCGGACGAGGTGCGTTCTACTAAGTCGCCCTGACAACATGACCAAGTTGCGACGACGAGGTCAACCCACTTCTAGAAATCGAAAGGATACTGCGACCATACCAAAGGTCACAACATCTGGGTCTTCATATCTTTAATACAACCCTTTTCTTCTAGCTTAGTATTTTTTGTATTATTTCGTAAAGTATGAATTCTTGCTCTGATGTCTGCTTAACACATGTTCATCAAGCTCGAAGGACGGGGAGCACAGTGCAACAGTCCTCACTGCACGACAATTCTACTTCGGTCTTCGACGGGACCATTTCCCAACTTCCTTCCAACCAACTTTTCCTCTGAAATGGAAAGTCATGTCATAAAATATCATTAATACATTTTTCTAATCCCAGTTTTTCATCAAGATTTTAAATTTTCCAAAATTTAAAGACAATTACAATCTCAACATCATAAGATATTTTCTGTTTTATAGGCAGGTTTTAAAATATAAGATAGGGTCTTTAGACCAGCAGTAGAATCATACAAGTAAGGCTTATTTTTACCTCCTAATGGGATAATTAAACTACGTTTCCTTCATCACTTTTGACGAAATAGCTCAAACACGGCTCTCATATCTACATCACACACTCTCTCACATGAAAATGGAGTGAGCTTAACAGTCTCCACTCCAAATGAGTGCTCGATACCAACACTTTTTTGACACAAACCAACTCCCCTTCATGCCCACGCGGCAGAGCCCAGACCCAGTTGGCATTCAGCTGGAAGCCCATTTCACGCCTCTTCAGGCGTCACGGTGACAAGGCTACAACGAAGAAACATCGTCAAGCTGTACTTACCGCCTGCGCTCGTGGGCTCGGCCTAGCCGACTCGAGGGCAGCGGACAATTTGTCCGAGTCACACCGACTTCCGGTTGTCGGCCCATGCAGCAGCCTCAGACAAAAGGAAATTGCAAACAGCCTGTTACTATTCTCACGCCCCAACTTCTCCCCTGGCATGAGTGCACCTGACAGAAGAGCTTCGAAGCAAAGGCTTTTCATCTTCCTGAAGGAAGCGCAACTGAGTGTGCCTCAGCATCTTCAGGTCATACGGCGATAATAGACCATACAGACAGGGACTTGTTTAATACTGGCATACTTTTCATTTCGCTTTCGAAGAACCTCGCATATTGGCTGCATTTGTTACCGAAGGACGGTGCATGAGTCTGGCTTTTGACCGACAATTTTCAGCCAACTCGCGAGTGTTGCATACACACACGGGCAACAGTAAATCACATAAATACACGATCATACGCCAGTGTATTGACATGGACAAAAGTTGTGACCACATCCGCTCCCCTTCCTGCATCACTTTCACTCGCATGCATGCATGCACGCATGTAGGACAAGCATACAACGTCGAGTGATACAGCAAATATAAGTTGGTCTCATCGACGATCCCAGCACAGAATGTGATATGGGAATTCCCGACAATTCACATCTGCTCTTTGTGACACAAGGACACTCGTGGCGACGTGGCCGAGTGGTTGACGTGTCGAATACACACGCCTCATTGGCATGGTTCGACTCCCGCTGGGGGTGTTGATAAGACCGAGGCGAGGTCGAAATTGCAGTCCACTTCAGCCTGAATGAAAACACCTTTCGGTAAAGCAAGAAAGTGTGAAATGAAATGGAAAACATCAGCTCTACTCATATGATTGTGGGAAAATTCTACTACCAGTCCTTCATCACCTTAACCGAAGTAGGGTAAAGTGATTTGCTGGTAGTCTCGAAACTCTGCTTACAAACGAAAAACCCTCCTATGCTTTCCAGTATGACCAATTCACGGATTCCAATTGTTAAGCCTACTTGCTTTTCAAGTGACAGTGTTTAGTTAAGATATTCGAAGCTCGAACCCCACCAGAAGACTACGGCCGATTCCTCGATTGGATTTACTGGAACATTCTTGCTCATGTTGTATACAAGACGATTTCCCTCGATTCCGGTTAAAGCGTCCATCGAGCTAACAAGTCAATAAAACCGGTATAGATACACTAAATTTAAGCTCTTTGATGAGGTATTAAGTGATTTGATTAATTTAAGTCCTATCT